GAAACTAAATGGCAAGGAGGCATTGCCTTGCAGCAGTGTGTGGACGGCAATGAGTGTTTCACAAATAAAGCATTGAATACTAAGTAGGTGTAACTAAGGGAAGGTGACGATCATCTTCTAAAAACCAAATGTTTATTAGCTTGGAAAGGGACACATGAAAAAACCCAAAGCTATGTAAATGTTTAGGCAGATGCGTTGCCAATGAGTCCAGCAGCTCCGGAAGTTTCAGTGGGTCAATGGCGCCATTTATTGTTGCGTGAATTCTAGAATCATATTTTTTCACAAAGATCTACCCAGACCAGCCCAATCTTTTGAAGAATTTTGCCGATAGATTTCTTGATGAGTAGCTTCATATCGTCCCTGAATTCATCAAAGTCAGCCAATTAGAAATCAATTAATCTGTTTGCTCCCGTAAGTGTTGCAAGTCTTATGTTTAATGATGTATCTAGAAAGTTGAATTTCCTTTGTCTCAATAATTTGTTAAGAAAGTTAAGAATGTAAAAACGTGTAGTGATTTTGCACAGTGGTAAATCTCCCTACATCGATGCCTCTTTGATGTTTTCCATCTTATGAGGGTATATTTGACGATTGTTCCTTCGACAATAGATCCATACACAAATGGGATGGATTACCGAAATAGCAGCAGAACAAAGTAGAAGAATATGGACCTGGAAAAACAAATTTCTTATTATTATATTATTCATAGCGCACACGCTTCGTGTGTCACGCCATGTCATACAAAACGTAGGTTACTTTCCTGGACGATGGCCTTCTGAAACTATAAATAGTTTACTTGTATTTAACCCTAGACGCCCTAAGGTAAAAATAGTCACACCAACACCTAAGGTGGGAGGGGGGTCAAAAGGGCACCCCCTTGTAAAAAAAATATTAGAAGAGCTAGGATGTTCAAATCTTTTCCACATATACTTCATTCAATCATCTCCAATTTGGTGAAAAAACGTTAATAGAAATAACAAAAGAATCAATCTTTGGTGTTCCCTTGGTGTTCTGGTCCTGGATTGTGATATTGGTTCTCGATTGGAGGGAGTAGAGGGATGTTAGACATTATTTTTTTCACGTTAGATGAGGGTTTTGGTATATATACGGTCTACTTTTCTTATGACAGACTTACACTTACAGTTTGCTTTTCTTGTTGGGTTTCTTTAAAGTTTTTAGTCACCCTTCCCCATTGGCATTTGCGCTTATATTTTCATATTTCCGCATATTTTGTTATTCATCAGTATATTGTTCATCTATTTTTTTCAAGAAAAAAAGCCGGTCATCATTGAAGTTCTACTCTAAGTTATTTTTACTTTGTAGATTGTTTTTTCGATGGTAATAACTATTTTTTCTTTGTTATGATGCTTATTTCAACTCGCAGCAGGGGTTCATTATGGATAAAAACTCATGAAAAAGTGCATATTCTCATCAAATATGACTAAAACAGTAATGAAAACAAAACCATATTTCTCAAACATTTAAGTAATGGACAAAAGGGCGTAAATCCGGACTCATTCTTCAAAAATAAACATTTTCGAATAAAACAATATGAGTGCAAAACTAATTTTTAAAGAAGAAAATGTTCATAATAAAAAATTGCGACTCGTAAAATATTGATTTGGCAAAAAGTTATACTTTAAAAACAACAGGGTCGCTTTATATAGCGAATATGATGGCTCTTATAACTAAAGGACAAAATGGGTTTTCATGATTATAACTCACCCAAAGGGAGTCATTCTTTAGTGGTCCTTTAATCCAGATGAACAGAGGGTACTGCAGCAGACTTACAATACAACCCGTAGTAAACAGAATACCATAAAGCTTTCCAAAATGTTGAGTTGGAAATCTAGAAAAAGATTTTACATTTTATCTTTATTTATAACAGTTTTCGTACAATCCAAATTGATCAATGCAAACATGAATAGTATCGATCAAAATACCACACAGTGCAATGTTCTATGGAAAAATACGGGGTGTCCAAAGTGTACAGAAATAATTATAAAACAACTCTGAGTGATAAAGGTATATTCCTGAAAATTGGTCATCTGACAATATATTCACGTACCATACATCTAAAAGTTTCAAGAGAAATCTTATTTTTAGAGATATTTGTAATATATTGGGTGGTCCAAAAATGGGACACTCGTATATCAAAAATAAATATTGATTTTCTTGATGAAAACATGTCATATTATATACCATTGGATGGGGAATTCACTCATCTTTAATTTGGTATATCATACATTCAAATTAATTATAATGTCTTTCAACCAGCGTTCAAAATATAAATGGTGTTATTTTCATTTCAAAACAGGTTTTCCAAAACTTGCAAAATCCTAGATTTGTCAACTTTATTTACATAAACAGATATTCAATATGTCCACCATTTTGATAAATTGTTGCCCTCAATTTGGGCCTAAACTGGCCAATAGCATCATTGATATGCTGTTGAGACAAACAGTTTGACACATCGTAATAAGCGATGCGCTTGGATGAACTATTTTTGTTGAAAATGTGTGAGTGTAGTTTGCCCCGTAGGGGCCTATTGTTCTTTTTCATGATATCTAGGGGGAAAATTATTAAATATTATGATGTGCACGGATCTGAGGACAATATGGGAAATACGGGCTAATCTCAGCTTTAAGTGTTAATCTCAGCCTTATTTAAAAAAGCTAACTATGTGTTTGTCATATCATTTTGAAGTATTTTTTATTCGTATTTCAATTAAATTATTTTTCCTTGTAAAGTTTGATTGGATCTACCATTTTTTCAGTTAAATATACTCCGACATCGCAAAATACGCTGTAAGACGTAACACTAAATACTCTTACACAGTTCGTTGAAATTGAGATAACTAATGAAATAATGTTCAGAATCCCACTTAAATTCCAAATTTTATTCAATGGGCGGCTACAGTTCGAAATTTCTTATATGGACGCTTTTAACATTTTCAAAATTGTGCAAGGTTTTGAAGGCTGTGAAGTTTATTTTGCAAATAGGCCTAATATTAAAATAACAGCTGATTTCGAGGCTTGAAAAAATGCAACGCATCGATTTTACTAACTTTATTTACTAAGTTTATTTTTATGTTGACTAAACTTGAAAAATATGTGACACTCGTCGTTTCTGAAATTGTAAGGCCATACCGCTCATTGTTTTTTGGTATTTTGACGCCATGAATGTTCTGCTTATTGTCTCCAGTTTCGTGCGACGTGTATATACCATTGACATGCGCTACGGGCGGTTCAAAAAAGCAGCCTAGATTTATCGTGAAATGTATCTATATGGTTTCACTAGGATCGATGGACCTTTCTTTATTTCACTTACGCTACTGTAATAAATGCTGTTATGGAACCGTAGGTAAATGTCCTGTGAAAGCCATACACCACGAATGTGAAGTATTGCAGTTCTAACACAGGAATGGCTGCACAAGCAAAAACCAGGACACCAAGGCCGGTGTTAAGACAGAACATTGGGATGAAATGACGAATTTTCTCTGGAATGGCAAAACATGAAAATGTATTTCAATGTAACACTATATGTGATAAAATCCAGGTCGTTGAATAAGTTCATGCAAAAACATTCTCATTTTTTTATTTTTCAATGTTTTCCTTGAAACTTTCAAAAATAATAGAAAAAATACTTACACATTTTAAACCAAAAGATAAATTACTTTGTCTTGATTGGTCAAAAGTTATGGTTGCTATGGTAACCTTTGTTTTGGTCACGCGGGGCAATTTATGCAGGAAAAAGTTTAATTTTAATTGAATTCTTGTGGTTTATTAGTTACATATTAAGTACTCTCTATAAAACATTGTCAAATTGAAGTTCCTATCAAGCATGTCACTTCATTAAATGCATAAAACTTTCTCCTTTATACTGGATGCATAGTTCCTGGCGCTTACCCATTCTTCGTGTTGAGCCCTAAAGCCACAAGGAAATTTAGTGCGCGTTGCACTCTGCACAGCTGCTGTGAGCTCTGTCCTGCTTGCATAACGAACACCTCTCAGTTCATCTTTCATCCTATTGAACAACCCAAAGTCCAATACAGCCTTATCAGGGGAGTATGCAAATCTGTTGAATAGTTCGTTGTTTGCTTTGCTCCCCTAATACACAAAATCGTATCGCAGCTCTTATCTGAGCAGATTGTTCATCTTTTGTCAAATGAATGTTTTCACTTTCTTGATCAGCCATTTTAAATATGATGATATTGCAATACAAATGTAATTGTGATGTAATACAACATGTTACCATAGCAACAATAGGCGTTTAATTTAAAATGAAAGAATAATGTGTTTGCATAAAATGCTTTCTCTAAGCACTAAACTTGGGATTCGCAAAGAAAAAAGTATTGTCCCGCATGACCAAAACACTGGTTACCATAGCAACCACAACTTTCGACCAATCAAAACAAAGTAATTCATTTTTTGTTTTTTCATGAGTAGGTATTTTTCCCTATGTTTTGTGAAAGTTTCAAGGAAAAATATTGGAAAATAAAAAATAAGTATGTTTTTGCATCAACTTATTGAACGACCGGGTATATATAGTTAGGAAAGTATAATTTTCTTATGAACTCAAAATATATAAGCACGATGTATACAAAATAACTACATAGTCACCTAATTTAAAAGCAAATGATCCTATTGGGTTCGTTGTTCGTCTGTCAAGCATTGGCCCAGATAGAGGACTGATAAAAACAGCCGCGAATAACATAAACGAGAATACTGTTGTATACATACTCACTAAAAATAAAAATGAAGACCATGTTTACTTCATTATATGGGCAAAGGGCACATGCCATTAAGAGGCCATTCTCTGACTTAGTCATTTTTTCAAAAGTGTGAAAATAAAAAACCTCATGAAAAGTTCTTAAAATATTCTGGATAACAAGTTGAATATATATATTTAATGATGGCACAAGCAAAGATCTGAAAATTAACATGAAATGAGGGGTTTTGACAGATGCAAAAGATGGTAGATTTGTGATGAAGAAATAGAGGTTTTTGCAGTAACAACACAATTACCTCGAAGCTATCGGTTATGAGAGGCTGAGGACTAAACTTGACATAATTTTCAGTCTCAGATTATCAGTAGTATCTAACCTACGCCGGACAGTTACTCAAAATGTATATGGAGCCCATACGATACATTTTTCTCAATTGAAGTCACTATTTCTGTTTTTAGCTTCAGAGGATAGGAGGTACATGAACATGCTAAGTTTACCTAGATCACAAGCCTTACCACAAATATAAAGTATATAGGAATAGAGTTGATATGTGTGAGAACCTTATACTGCCCATTTTATGGGGGATGGGACTTGTGATTCATGTGTATTTCTAACTTCTTCACATGTGCATGGATCTAAAATTGTGGCAGCCATCTTGGATTTGTCATATATTTGGACATGGTTTTGGTTGTGCTGAATTTGTTTCAAAATAACATTTCTTGTATACCTTCGATAAGTGAGATAGGCATTTGAAATTAAATACAGATAGTATACTTGACATTTAATGCAGTAAACAGTAATACAATTCATTCTTACATAATAAGTAAGTTGCTTAAATGTTGCCCTGTGAATTCGATAAAAGTCAATAGTAATCCCTTACAGTCACAGTCGAAATGTACCCATTGCTAGCCCAGAACCTACCAAAATAGCATTTGCATTTTGCCAATATTGCCCTATGTGCTTTTCCATGAAAATAGTTTAATCGTATCTTTTCTTCAGTATTTCATATATTACATGTTAATATATTTAAATTGGTTTATATTTATATATTATTTACTTAGACAACAATAAATAAAGATTTTCTTGTAAAAACACCAAAAATGGTATATGATCTTTAAATGACTGTTGTGTGAACATCAAAGGTCAAAATTCGCTGAAATTGTTTTTTTTATGAAGCACAAATGATTTTTCTTCAATATGATATGCATTATTATCAGATATCTTTGGGGGCTAAAAAGGGCTCTTAATGACACCCGTCCTTTACGATAATTAATATAACAAAAAATAGAAAATCTGAAATTTTAGATTCATATAAGATTCATATACTGTTTATAATATTCTATTTTTCTTACTGATGCCCAAATTAGATTTCAATACAAAGATTTGCATACCAATGTGACACTTGGATTTTTTGTGAACGAATATTCTATCTTGTCTATGGGCACACGCATTAGGCTTTGTCTAATTTTTTAATCATGCCGCTGAAGGTAATGTATTTGATTTGAATATTTGCATCTCTCATGAATTATATATCATTGAGAAGTACTCGCACTTTTAAGGCCTCATAGTTGGGAGGGGGGCTCACAATGGGTTGTAGCTAGACAAATATATACAATACGGTAATTAATGCAGTTTAAGAAATTCTCTGATAACCAATTCATCTCAATATGCATGTACGAACACTAATCATATATTTACAGAAACCTACCCTGTTGTGTATTGTCTTTAGTCAGGTATGTTATCCACGAGTTGAAGTTACCCAAGAAAAAGTTGAGCCCTAGTTGCGCTGACGAAAACCAGAGAACACTCGTCCAATATATAGGCGATTGTATAACAACATTAAACGGTTGTGGCGAGTCACCTGGTGTGTTTGTTGCGTTATCCTCTGTCGTCTCGATGGTTCCATCCGATTTCACATTTGGATTTTGTTTCACAGTGCTTATTTCATGGTCGGATTTGACTTCGTTACCACCATTGTTACGTTTACAGGAAGAGCATATCGCCATGGAAAAGTTATTCGGCAATGGATAGGGAATAAATTGTCGTGGTAGCCACAAAAACGTACTTATAATACAAATACTATAGCTAGCACTGATAGTTAAGAAAGTGGCTTGTAGAGATATCCCAGCTTCATATGCAACCTGTAAAGACGATTTACACTCCAATCCATAACATAAGTTTGCCAACCCTAACTCCCTCATCGGACAACGTGTTAACCCTCTAGAAGCCCTGGGGTAAAAAAGGTCTACAACCCTTCACAAAATGAGTCTCGGTTTTAATGGTATGAGGTTCCATATCCATCCGCCAAAAGGTATGTCCACTTAAAAACTTGTGGTTTTGTTCTAAATAACGCCATAGTTGGCTTCTAGGGTACCTAGTATGCCACTATTTGGTATCAAAATAAAGAGGAGGAGTTCAACTTTCATTTGAATTACGAAAATAGCGATGTAGGTCAAAAATAGTTCCGACGTGAGCATGTTTACTACGCGTTTGCCCGTCATCTAAGAATTGAGGAAATGGTAGCAAACGCGAGATACAATAAATGGACGCTGATATCTCAAAAAGTAACCTGACTCCCTATAATTTGATGTAGATCAATCGAACCCCTATATGAACAGGTACATTTTGATATATAACACTATGGGGGGTAAGCGTTTTATAGTTGATCAGGAACGCCCTATGTGCAAAGTATTGTTCTGAATTTTCAAATTTGGTGTTGGATTACGGTACTCATACCTTATGAAATCAATCAATGCATATTTTTGACAATCAGCTAGACGACCTGACCTGTTGACTGATTCAACGAAGCACATATATTTCTAAACCCTGAGCTTCCGAACTATCATATACATCAGTAAACAAACATCACTGTCCCCCACGGTCAATATGATATTTTCCCTGGTCAAACCATAATTCTTTCGAAATGAAATTTACATTCCATCCCTCCCATTAAATAACCTCTATATATACAGAATTTTTGATTTTCTCAGTCATGATGTAAAAATTGTAACTATAGAGAGAGGAAGTTTTACATCAAGTACAGTCCCTTAGAATGAAATGTTTGTATACATTTAGAAAACAAAAAACTGTATAATGTTAACAAAATGGCTACACCTACTTTGACAAGAAGTAAGACGAATGCGCTTGAATCAAATGCTCCATCCACAATACATATCAGAGTATTGCGCCCTCTGTTGAGGAGATTTCCAAGTTGCATATTAGTCATGAGGATAAAGAAACCCCCGTACATCACGCATATGACTGACGGGTATAGGACGTACGGAATCGCTGGAATAGAGTTAGTAAACCTGTGTTTAAAGCTTAGAAATTAAACTTGAGATGTTTATAAGACTTTGAATTGACATCTCAAATTCTACTTTCTAATTTACACGTGTTTCAATGTGTAAAAGGGATCACATTCATGAAACAATATTTAAATATTTCTAAATATCACAGTCTTCCATGTGTTATTCAGATAAAGCTATTAATCCAGGGTTTATCTACAACCTCAACCTCGAGAATTGCAGAACTAAATGCGCAATGTACCATTTGTAGTATGTTGACATACATGTACTGTTCTTTCATTAATTTTCCAATTTCCACAAAAAATCGTTTAGTGCAATCCGTGCCTCCTCTACCTTACCTCACGAAGATCTTAAGATTACTCTTTCAAATTTTTTGACCTACTTTAAAAAATATTATTCTTCGTGTTTGCTTCCAATTTAATTCATCATATTTTATAAGAGGTTTATTTCTATGTAAAAAGAAACCATTCATAAGAAAAATATCGAGTAATTCGTAACGAACTGTTAGAAATAAGTGAATAGATCTTTTGCGATTGGAATTTTTTTATTAACAACGTTGCTATGTAGTTCGTTCAGAATTCCTTTTGAGAAGTGACGTCATTGCCTTCGTATTTTTTCACCGTCTAGTTAACGAATACCACATGTCAATATGATGTTTTATTCAATAAAAGCAAATACATTTCTTTATCTTATTTTGTGAAAGCTACGATTTACTCAGAAAACTATCAATAACCTATTTATTTCAAACACTTTGGTAGGTTAACTCGCCAGAAATCAACATAATATTATTTGAAGCAATTGTAGAAAATTGTGAAACCGCCATCTTGAAAATGTGTAGTAATGTTGAACCCAGTGATTATCGATCTTGACATATAACAATGTGTTGCTCCCCGGAAATTCCCTAGCTTTTTGCCCAAAAAACACATTGAATGATACAATTATTACCGATGTCTTTGATAAAAGTTATTTGTAAACGTTATCATTTATTTTATAATAAAGATTTGGCGTTGTTGATTTAAGGAATAAATAATGATAGGCCATTCAATATGGTGAAATGCAGCACGAGTTGGACAGAATGTTGTACAAAGCACGAACCGAAGGTGAGTGCATTTGTACTAACATTCTGTCCAACGAGTGCTGAATTTCACCATATTGAATGGCCTATCATTATTTATTCAGATTCAAACATAAAAATTAGTAAAAGCCGTGTCTGTGGAACGGGCATGAAGGAAGAATACGCATGCTGTCAAGATTCTGAAGTCGGCCGGAAAAATTTTAGAATTTGTTTGGGCTGTTCTATTTTACTCCCCGTTTTAGATTTTATACGGTGTGTATTTGACATGTCAGTCATAGTCAGCCATAGTTAAATAGTTACAGTAGTTACGGAGGTAGTAAAAAAGAACAGCTATCCCCGGACAGAGCCCCAGATGTGCAGCTGAGATGTGACGTCACTCAAAACAATGCAAATTGCAGATTGAATAGAGCATGGTCGTGCATCTATGGAGAATTAGAGAACGTTCTTTATTGGCTATGCTGCATTCTGATTGGTTGAGAAATTCGAATAGAGCACGGTCATGTTTGAATCAGTATTACAGAGCAGTCTCATTTCTCAAGCTTTCTGAGATCGTGCCCTGGGAATTTAAGAATTATTTTAGAATCGTCCGAGAGGTATTGAAGGTACGCAACGAACGAAACGAGTTTCGACAATGGTAATTTTGTATCACTGTCTGTTGCACGTACCTGGCGTGGAGAATGCTATCGTCAGAGATCCAGACAAAAATATAACACTGAAAATAATATGACAAACAATATGCATTTGTGATCGTAGTAGTATAGATTTGAGGATTACCGGATTCTTTCAACTTTTTAAAAATTTATCCCGGATTCCCTGGTTTTCAGTTAATATTGTAATTATTGCTTATCGTTGTTTTAAGATTTATCAATCGTTCTTTTTGTTACAGCAAATAAAATATTTGCTTTTGTATGGATAGGTTGAACAACCTATAAGCTCTATTACCTTCCAATTAACCTTGTAGTTAATGTACCAAACTTGTCATATATCGTTCCACTCAAAACGAGTAAAACTCCAACGACTGCGACGCCTATGGCAAATACCAAGTTAAACTGTTCATCCTGCGCCGCACATGATGTTGGACCAGCTGTTGATGAGGCACTTGTCGTGCAGTTTGTCTCGCATTCACACAGATGACTGAAATAACGTTCTTCCTTAAGGACGAACACTAGAGAAGGCCAACCAAACATCATCCCTCCGAAAATAAGAGTCTCAAGTACACCCCAGGCTGAGAAGAAAATGACACCGCCTCGAATCCGAGCCATTATTACTACAATGAACCATATATATGTATGATCATTTGAGCCATTACTTTTGTTTTAATTATTAAAATTGCCTATCAAATATTTCAAATTACTTCATTTACAACCTGATCTTTTATTAAACTTGCTGGAATGATTACTCATATACTTGTAGAGTAGATAAGTAGAGGGTGTCCCGAAAGTATGACCCCCCAGACATACACCAATGTTTCCATAGTATGTATCATATATCAATTTAAAGCTCATCTAAAGATACATTGATTTGCCAAGTATCATGGTTCAACTCACAAACGGGAAAAGTTACACACATTTCAAATGTAGTGTTTTACCAAAATTAAAGTTTAGTTTTACACAAAATTAATAGTCGCCGTGTCTCCCTTGGTCATGTTAACAGCAGCAATTCTTCCCAGATATGACCTTAAATACACTGCAAATAGGGGCATAGCATTTAATAATCCTCATAAAACCTTTTTAAGGCATTTTGGAAAGGTTTCCTTGGATTATCTGCCCTTACCGACATCTCTTTACAACTCAATATCCATCGGTGTTTCACGCTCATCACGCTCATCTCTGACTTGTCTTCAAGTTTTCGCTGTTTAGAGTTTCTTGGAAGGTGCTGTTTCAGGTTAATTAATTATCTAGGGTTATGTAATGTTATGTGATGTTGTGTCATGTAATGTTATGTAATACTATGCAATGATATGTTTTAATGATGCAATACATTTCTACAACTCCAAATACTAAAGATATGTCTTCATTTAAATTATATGGACATCTGAGTTGGTATTTACTTATGCTTGTACTGATGGTTATGCGAGATATTCATCAGGTCACATGGTCACTCCAGTCTAGCAGTCAGTCAGTCTCTTAGCAGCTCACATGTAGCATTAGGCAGTAATACTTGTTAGCTTTTTCTCCCACCCTCCCTCCATTTGGATCTTAATTTGAGAGTTATTTTTATTTTACTGCTTTTTCTCGTTTTAATTTGGTAATTAACTTAGGTTTTAGTTTAGTTTGTGTTATGTACTTGTCCATTTGCTACATCATATATATATATTTATTTTTTAATGTAGGCATTTTATTAGTAAATTTTACATAAATATGCGAATAAGGAACATTACTAACTAACGAATAATGAAGCAGTTATGACGCTAACGATTTTAAATATGATATCAATTTGTCTGAATTCAGTCTGAATTCAGTCTGAATAGTTCAATTAATGGTTAACTATTTCTCTTAAAAAATTAATCTTCTATATCGTTGAGTTTTCCAACCCTCCGTAATATTTCAAACTTACCTTTCGATTGTTTCACCTTCTGATGCGAGAATTGTAATAATACGCGGCAAAAATATCCCCCTTGTTGATCTCGGAGCTGTTACGCGGTAAACACGATACAAAAATATGCCATATTCAGTAACGAATATGGCATATTCACTTGCAGTGTATGACAGATTCACCTGCGGTATATGGCATACACGCTTACCAATGAGAGCGTGATACGTAGGTACGCAATTGTCAATTGCATCGATTAAACGAACAAGTAAAACTTCATTAATTATTATAATGATTACTGAATCAGCAGTACAGTTTATCGAATATATCAACGTATGCAGACGTATTATCTCACGTAATAAACTTACCCAATCAATCCGGGATTCATATATTAATACTCGACGTACTAACAATATTGGTAATCCAGCGTAGTTTTACATTTAGAGTCGATTTTCGCAACCAATCAAACTAAGTCTTTCGTTATCACGTTTTCACCCGTGGAATATGTCATATTCACCTGCTGTATATGGCATATTCCGCAAGTGAGTGTGACATATTCTGCATGTGAGTATCTGGTATTCACTGAAATCAATGTATCGCATATTCACTGCAGAATATCGCATACTCACCTGCGGAATATGCCATATACCGCAGGTGAGTATGGCATATTCACCCGTATCACAAATACCGCGCAACCATGATTGTATGCCATATTCCGCGTAACAGGAGCTACGTGGTCTATGTCATATTTGAGGTTATATTTATGATATATTACAATGATATAGAGGATTTATGTGTTAAACTGCACGTAATACGTATTAGGCTCGAGAATGTGCCATCGTTTTTATTACTCTTACCAATTTTGAGACATGGTGTCCGGAAAGTAGGTCAATACAAAAAAATCTCCAAATTCAATGTATGAGTTATGATATAAGTGAGGAATTTTCTCAGGAATCCCGATCTGCAAACCAAATTTCAATTTAAACCACCTGTCTTTTTTCATTTCGATTCAATGGATTTATTGCCATTAGAACTGTTACGCGGAATATGGCATATATTCATGGTTGCGCGGTATTTGTGATACGGATGAATATGCCATACTCACCTGCGGTATATGGCATATTCCGCAGGTGAGTATGGGATATTCCGCAGTGAATATGCGATACGTTAATTTCAGTGAATATCCGATACTCACCTGCGGAATATGTCATACTCACTTGCGGAATATGCCATATACCGCGGGTGATTATGACATATACCGCGGGTGAAAGCGTGATACAGAAAAGCCTTAATTTGATTGGTTGCCAGAATCAACTCTAAATGTAAAACTACGCTGGATTACCAGTATAGTTAGTGCTTCGGGTAGTAATATATGAATCCTGGATTTATTGAGTAAGTTTACCTCGTGAGATTGCTGAGTGATACTTCTGCATTAGTTGATATATTCAATGCACTGTACTGATGATTCAGTAATCATTTCAATAATTTATAAACTTTTACCCGTTTGTTCAATCGATGGAATTGACAATTACGTACTTCCGTATCACATTCTCATTGGTTAGTGAGTATGCCATATACCGCAGGTGAATCTGTCATACACCGCAAGTGAATATGCCATATTCGTTGCGGAATATGACATATATTTTGTATCGTGTTTACCGCGTAACAAGAACTCGCATGCATAACTGGCAAAACTCTGTTCTAAGACAAATGTGAAATTGTATCATCTGAAATTTTAGACCATTTACAACTTCAACTCAATATTAACAATTGCTTAATGACCCTAATTGATGATTGGCGATCTAAATGCTTAAAACACCATCCTAAGTCAAATACAAGGAATGAAAAAAGTTTGAAACTATGAATTAAACAAGAATTTACTTACCTTGTCAATTTACCAAGGAAAACTGGGCCAAAACTCGGATTCTGAGGACCTGCTATACCATTTACAACGGATCAACTTCTTGGATTTACACTTATATTTCTGAAGAATAAACCTTTAGGCCTTTACTATGTATTATGTTCGATTTATATTAAAAACAAGTGTTAGCAGCTACAATGTCAATTCTATTTCATATTTCTTAACGTCATTGTAATTGTTCATTGAAGTTAATCAATGTAAGTTTAGTGAATACATATTTTTACAAAAATGTACAATAGGAACATCTAAAGATTAAAAAATGAAAAATAAGACCAAAACACCATTTTGTGATTTATTCACATTTACTCATTCAATACTGAAGCTCTTAACATTAACCTTAACGCAATAAAATACATGTAATTTTGTAAAAAGCATTAACAACGTTGATTCACTTTAAATTTTTATATAGAATCTTTGAGTACATGTATACTCGATTTATTTGGGTGTCCGAAAGATTGATTTATCTACATGACAAACAGTATTATCAATTAGTCAAAGAACTCTAAGGTATTCTGGAGATATACAAGTAAGAAAACCACTGCTCATGATGGGATACCCCCACTCCAGAAAAATGATGGGACCCTCACATCAGATGACAAGGAGAAAGCCGAAGTTCTGTACAAGTGTTTTTTCCAAGGATGATATGACTGATACCCCCATACAAGACTTTACATATATTGGATCATATATCCAGAATTGGAAAATTTGTGAAGAAGATGTTGACCTCAGACTTAACAACCATCTTGCATATCTCCAGAATACTTTAGAGTTCTTTGATTAATAATACTGTTTGTCATGTACACAGGGAGATATGCCGAGTACTAAATTAGTACAAAATTAGTACTAAATTAGCACTCGTGCCATGAGTACTCATGAGTGCACTTTTGCCAGAGTGCTAATTTATTACTACTTGAGTGCTATTTTAGTACTAATTTTGTGAAAAATAAGGGTTTATTTTAGTACCGTTTTAGTAACAATATTTTTAGTAATGATTTAGTACTAATTGAGTGCTGTTTTAGTACTAAAAAATTGCTCATTTAGCACTAAAATAGTATTCATTTACTAAATAATAAGCACTCAGTAGGTATCATTCTAGCTCGCATACAATTGACATGCTACCTTCAATTTTGTAATTTAGACTAACTCAAATAAAATGCAATGAGTACTATTTTAGTACTCGGCATATCTCCCTGTGTATAGATAAATCAATCTCTCGGACACCCAAATTAATAATTATTTCCATTAATCTAGTCGGTAACTACCAACCCGTCAAAACCACGGCATGAGGTTAAAACATACGGCCAATGTAGTACTGCCTCCACGTTTTTATTGCAGTCTATTGTAAAGTACATTCTGGCCAAATCAGTCCTTCTTTGTAGGTCTGGGTCTGGAGGGCTCTGACTTCTTCATCACTTTTACTCCCATTGATAATTTCAGGCGTGATGATCGTGTTCCTGCCAGATATGGCCAAATCTTAAATTCTTGGGCCTCCTAATTTAAAGTGTTTGTACCACCTATACACATTCTTTCTAGCAAATTTTTTATCCCTAAAGCATTGTCTAGACTCTATCGGGGTCTCGAGCTGTGTTTTACCTTGATATACACAGTGTTATATCAGTAGCTTTGTTTTCGTTTTGGTTGGCCTTCCATTTTGACCCAAAATGGCTGATTTTCTGGGCCAGGTGTAATTTGGTGTCTGTTTGTCAAAATGATATTCCATACACTAAGCACCTTATGACATCATAATAGCACACAGTTACTTTAGAAACATTCAAACACAACTAGAAATAACTGTCATCATATTTGCATTTAACAAATAAAGTTTTAAATACTTTAAAGCAACAAACAACACATGCTGAGATAGTGTGCATGAATGAAAAATACAACCTGACCAGTGGTACCCATAATTTTAACAAATAAGAAGGTATAGTTATCAAATCTCCCAGAAATGTTGCCATTTCCATAAATAGTCAACTCTGAAAAGGAGGAGGGAAATAGGCGCAGCAGATTTTGGACAGTCATATGTTTGATGTTTGTTTCACTTCTAGAGATGATAAAATAATTTCGACTTTGAGACAGGGTGAATGCAAACAACCCACCCACATGTTTTTCTGAAATGTTTTCCTGATTTTCAACCCCTTCCACCCCTGCTTTTTTAAATTTTTCTTGCATCAATATGTTGCGTTTTGACACACAGTTAATCCCTTAAAAGGAATAAATGATTCCTTTTAGATAAAGTGGAAAACATTATTTCCCATGTTATTTTCCTAAAGGGAAAAATCATTGCTTTCAGCTAAGTTTGGTCACCCATAATGGGTATCTTTAGAACCCCTGAAGGAATCACCTGAAGGAATCAATTGGCGTGAGACGAAGCATCGCCAATCAGCATGGTGTTGACAAAAGAGCGTCTCACAAATAATGAATTGATTAAGTGGTACCGGGGAAGGCGATGTCCGTCTCCTTAAAAACGTTTACTTATAAACTTGCCAGGAACCCCCCCCCCCCCTTGAATGTAACAAAAGCGATGCAAATGTCCAAGCAGTGGCGTTTCCAGAGAGTCCAACAGCACATGGAGTTTCAATAGTTCAGTGGCGCTGAATAAGTAGTTTCATCTCATCCTTGGATTCATCAAAGTCAGCTTGAGGAATCATTTTATCTATCGGTTCCGAAAGTGCTGAGAGTTTCATTTTTATCATTTTTTATTTATTCCACTTCATATTAATGTTACATATAATACAGTACATGTATATTTACATTTTATTGTTTTTACATCATTAAGGTCATATGATCATTCGTTCATTTGATCAGTGCTGAGATTCTTATGCTTGTGGGTGTACACTGTATAAGACGAAGGTGTAGTACTTTTTCACAGTGTTGCATCTTATTACGTCGATGTTTCTTTTACGTTATCCGTCTTGTGTAGGTATATTTGACTATCATTTTTCCGACAATAGAGCCATACACTGATGGGATGGATTACCGAAACAGCAGCAGTACAAAGCAGAAGTATATGAACCTGGGATAAAAGATATTTACACTGAGCACGCCTTATGTGTAACACATGTCTTTGGGGACATTAAGCTGGTACATAAAATCGAAACGCAAACCTGCACGTAAGAAATCGCCCTTTAAAAAAACATATATAGTTTTCTCACATAAATAATCCTTTGTGTTTACTTAGTCTTTTACTTGGACCACATCGCAGCGTGACATTAATAGTTATATAGCTGGTTTTCTATGATACATATTTTGAACAACGTTTCGTAAGACATTTGGAGCTAAAGTATGTCCAGCATATATCATTTTCTTCAGAAATCATCATACTGTGCATCGAAATCAAAATTGCAAGCATAGTATTCGATAGACATGAGTATTATGATTCCCGTTGACACCTACGTGAAATAGCAAATCTCCCGTTCTAAACACAGGTTTGTCTGTCGGGTGTCTGTGTAGACCAATTAGCGCTTGTTTTGTATGCGCGCTATAGACATGTACATTACTGTATTGATTCGTGCACTTTTCGTTCGCGGTTACGTTTTGATAAATATGGCCAGCTTAAAGTCTCCAATATATGCAAGTTAACTTCCCAGATAATGACCTTGAAACTGCAAATTACTACATTGCATTTACAGGGTGCGTACCAAATTAAGCGTGACTGATGAACGCACGAATGTTGTATACTGTTTAACGCCCGGGTAAAATACAGTATAACACAAATTTAAATTTCTTGCGTTGTACCTTACCGACCGCGCGTTATACCATAGACTACATTCGAAGTGTGTGTAGGTTTAACTATTAAATTCACTGTCAAATTCACTGTCTAGGATGTTGTTACAGACATTTACATCTAGAAATATCTAGAAACTAGACCCCATCTTTCTGAAACGATGAACTTATCTATTTACTCACATTTCATCACCCCCGTGTTGTACCGTACCCCGCGCGTTCAACTGTCAAGCTTTATTTGGTACGTATTTGAATTTAGAAATAAAAACAATTTTTTCCGAATAAAAAATGGGGAGTGTAAAATACATTTTACAGAAAACATGATTACCCTTTCTGGAAAATTATTAATTAAAGAAGGAAATAAAAATATTCGCTAGGTTAGAAATATAGTTCGTAAAAATATGGATTTGGTAAAAATAATTTAAAAAATTAAAAATAAAACCGTTTATTTTGTCCCCATTACATAGTGTGGGGCCATATTGTCGGCCTAGGCGCGTCCGTCCGTCACACCCGACAGTTTTCTCAAAAACCGCTACAGATATCACCTTCGAATTTTCAGAGATAACTTTATGAGTATATACAGATTTGGTAGAAAAAGTTTCGACTCGATACCTATTTCCCGTCGGCCATTTTGAAGTCCATTACTAAAATCCTTGTCTGCAAACTTTAAGAAAAACGGCTTCAAAAGTTACTTCTATAACTTTAACATCTTGTTTAACTCACTTCATTCTACGTCTGATTAGGTTCTGGACATATTGGCCCAGTCATGGCAGCCATTTTGAATGTCTTAAGAAAAGTCAGCGAGCGATGATACTTTGTATCATATTAGAAGGTGTCCTGTATTGTAGAAACTAATGACACAGTTCACAGTAGGTATATGCAATATTTTTGTTAACACCCCAGTCACATTTCCCACGGCCGCCGTGCGGTCTATCATTTCTGCGGCCAGTAGCTTTTCTACGCTCGCCGTAGAATTTCTGCGCTCTCATACTTTTGCAGTCGCATTTCCCACGGCAGCCGCACGGTGAATTTTAAATTTCTGTTGATAAATAATGCTTTTTTCATTTTATTTTACATCAGGACAATTTATAAATGGTATTCATAGTGCAAGGATGTAATATCAAATGAAAAGTGATCGTGAAACATTGACAAATAATGATTCAATCTTGTTGAGCCAGTTGATTAGGTACTTACTATGGAGACCTCAGAAATGAACAAATATTATAACTCCGGGTTATAATTTCTACGGCGACCCTGCGGCCTGTAAAAAACATTCAGTTTTTCTACTCTCGCCGCAGTAATTCACTGATTTAATTGATCTGCGGTCGACGCACGGCCTCCGTACGACAAATGTGACTGAGGTGTTAAAAAATTGACAATAATTTATGTCTGCGTTTTATTGTCAGCGATCTTGGTGTTTCCGTCGTAAAATCATGTTTGTAAGTCTTTCTACGCATATTCAGGACAATTGTTTCACAGATCAATTCAAAATGTTAAGGAATGATTTTTAGTACACACATATCAAACTGATTAGGTTTTGGGCATTCTGGGGAAATGTTGAGGCAGCCATTTTTGATTATTCGTCCTAAAATGGTGTCTATAAAGTCTCGTCTATGCGTTTTCAGGCTAACCGTTTCACAGATCACTTTGAAATTTTCAGGAATGATTTTTAGTATGCATATCTCGAACTGATCAGGTTTTGGGCATTCTGGGTAAATGTCAAGGTGGCCATTTTGGATTTTCCATCCTAAGATCTTGTCTGTAAAGTCTTGTCTACGCGTTTTCAGGCTAATGGTTTTACGGGTCAATTTCACATTTTGAGGGATGAGATTCTGGAACTGATTAGGTTTTCGGCATTCTGGGTAAATGTTTAAGTTGCCATTTTGGATTTTCCGTCCTTAAATCTTGTCTGTAAAGTCTTGTCTATCTACCCGTTTTGCAAATGATTTTACGGATCAATTTCAAATTTTCAGGGATGATTCTTTATATGAAAGTCTAGACCTGATTAATTTTTAAATTAAAAAATGTTTAGGTGGCCATTTTAAATTTTCTGTCTTAAAATCTTGTCGTTTAAGTCTTGATAGATTTCAAATTTTCAGGAATGATTCTCTGAATGAAAATCTCAATTATTTTGGGATGTTTGGTAAAGGGTAAGGCGGCCACTTTGAATTTTTTCTCAAAAGTTTTTTTCAACTGATTATTGTTTTGCACTCAGGATGAAAAAATTGTAAGGGATAGTTCATTGGTGGGGACATGCTTTACACTTCTGTGTTCTTCTATATAAGTATATTGGTTTTTCCTGACTGTTACTCACCCACATGGAATCATTCTTTAGTGGTCCTTTGATCCAAACGAACAGAGGGTACTGCAGCAAACTTACAATAGCACCCGTAGTAAACATAATACCATAAAGCTTACCAAAATGTTGACTTGGAAATCTAAAAACGCAATATATCTATTTTTATTTGATAATGGCTTTTTTCAAAAATGATCAATACTTTTATAAATATCAGGGGACTTTATTTCACTGCACTTACGCTTGTGCAAGGAATGCCGATGCAGGGCCGTAGTTAAAGGTCCTATGAAAAACAAACACTACGAATGTAAGGTATTGTAGCTCTAACACAGGAATGGCCGCACATGCAGAAAGCAGGACACCAAGGCCGATGTTGAGATAAAAGATTGGTATGAAATGACGAATTTTCTCTGGAATGGAAAAATACATCCCAATGGATTTGATGTAACATCATTTAAAAAATGCAGTTAAGAAAATAGAATGCTATTCATTAATTCCAAATATATATTAGAAACGATGCATGTTAACATAATAACCACATCGTTACCTAATTTAAAAGCAAGGGATCCGATTGGGGCGGTTGTTCGTCTGTCAAGCATTGGCCCAGATAGAGGACTGATTAAAACAGCCGCAAATAACATAAACGAGAATACTGTTGTATACATACTCACTAAAAATAAAAAAACAAGATTATGTTCATTTCGTTAGATACTTAGATCACACTTCTGTAACTCTTCAATAGAATCAGTACCAATAGCGACAAAAGCTAGTCGTAAAATATCTTCCCTTACACGATTATGAAACGTTTGTGAATGAATGAATAGATCTAGCTGCACATGATTTCAGCAAATGGTATGAATTCTTATATAATACCATCTGCTGGAAAAAAACTTCTGGCTTTCGGTCGAAAAATGTCTTTCATTACAATGGGTCAAAAGTCGTTAATTTTGATTTGAACTTTTATACATTTTCACGCGGTACTAACTTCGACCATTAATTTGAATTTTTGACCTACCAGATGTTTGGAAATCAAGGATTGCGAGTCTCATACTGCACCGTTTTTCTTCAAACCCGTACCATTCAAAGCAAAACAAAATTCCCTTTCTGTCGGTGCATTGCTTTATTTTAAAGAGTCCCTAGTTTTAGCAGCGTTTTGGTCCCCAGCTGTTAGAAGCCCTTTTCACAACTGAGGACCAAAATGCCGCTGGAAGTAGGGACTCTGTATAACAGAATAATGTTCTAACAGAAAGGCATTTTCTTATGCTTTGAATGGTACAAGTTTGAAAAAACGGTGCAGTATGAGACTCGTAGTCCTTGATTTTCAAACATCTGGTAGGTCAAAAATTCAAATTTACGGTCGAAGTTAGTACCGCGTGATTTTATAAGACACAGACCGTCATTTTAAGCATACGGACAATTAGTGTAATTGCACAAGTGTGTTTTTCATAGTTTGTTTGATTTTTCAAATATGAGCCAAGCAGATTCAACAAAATTATATGGAATATTTAGGCAATTTATGATTGCAAGCATATTAGTTTTCTTACCATTTAAATTATATTATGACCAGAATTTATCCATATTATCGCAACAACAAATAGGTAAGATTTATATCTAATCAAATGTTACAGAGGTATTGGAATGTTCATATACTCCAAGGACAGGTCTAATAATCAATTTGAGTCATATGCAATCGAACGCCTTGGAATTCTTCTTCGACGTTACTGCTGGCTATCACCAAGTTTTCTGATGGTTGTTTCTTCTTTGACCTACTGCTGGATATAATCAAATTTTAGGACGATAATGATAACGGTTTTTCTCAATTATTCAGCCAATTCGACAAAGTCTTGAGGGTTGTTTTAAGCAACTGAGCAATATCTAACTACGAGAAATAGAATTTTAGCTATTGTCGCAATAAGTCAAGGAAGAGCAATATGCCCTTCTTTATTGATAATGTTCACTGCTGGATAAAAGTCCATACCTCAAACGTATTTAGACCCATTTTGTGAAAAACTAGCATAATTTAAGCATTTGTCATTATTTTATAAAATTGACTAATTTGTACCATTTATCTCATTGATATCTGAAAATCAATACAAAACTTCGATGTACTGATTTCGCATTTTTTGGTATTGATAAGAAGAATAACCTCAAATTTAAAGCATAGAAACCTAAATAAAATCAACTGTTGCATTGCATACTCCAAATTGTGAAAAAATTGGATTTTAGTTTTTGGTAATTTTTTGACATCTGCCAATGACAGGCATAATTTAGCCTAAAAGCCGGAAGTATATTAAACGGTTATAATAAAAAAGAAAATTAGGGAACATATGCAGGTATGTTAATATTAGGTCAAATGTCGCTGCTCGTCAGTGTGCTACCAGCTTCTTTATTAGACGTCCTAGAGATTTCAAACCATAGACTACTTTGTCAACTCATATAACCATGACACTGCAGGCCGGTAGTGTCCTTGAGTAGATATACATCTATGGTAAACAATTAACAATAGTGAGAAGTACCATATACATACATACAGCCCTTGCGGTTGGGGAGAGTGAGGGCTCACAAGGGCGTGTAGCTAGAGTAAGCTATACAATACGGTACTCAATGCAGTTGCATAACTCTTCTGATAGCCAAGAGTTTATATTTATCCACCACCTTTTCTTTGAATAGTCATTATCATAAACGCAAATGCAATTTTCTTGTGATATGGCGGGATTCTTGTTTTTTCAAATTCAGTCTGATAAAACATTTACAGAAACTAACCGTTTTTTGTATTGTCTGAAGTCAGGTATGTTATCCATGAGTTGAAGTTCCCCAAGAAAAAGGTGATCCGTTGGTGTGTTGACGAAAACCAGAGAACACATGTCCAATATATAGGCGATTGTATAACAACTTTAAAAGGGGGTGGCGACTCAAGCATACGGTAACCAACTTTGGTGTTTGGTACTTTATCCTCTGTCGACCCGATGGTTTTATTCAATTCAACATTTGGATTTTGAGTCACAGTGCTTATTTCGAGGTCAGATTTGACTTCGTAACCACCACGGTTACGTGCACACGAAGAGCATATCGTCATGGCAAAGTTTTTTGGCAATGGATATGGAATAACTTTTCGTGGTAACCACAGAAACGTACTTATAATACAAATACCATAGATGGCACTGATTGTTAAGAAAGTGGCTTGTAGAGATATCCCAGCCTCGTATGCAAGCTGTAAGAATAATGCAATTATTCAATTAGCATCTCAAAATAGGTCAAGATATATAGGTGAATGTATGCAAAATACATGATGGGTTATTTTGAATTTATAATATTCCACTTACTACGATCTGTAGACTTAAAGTATGACAAATAAGAAACAGTCTTGAGGACTCTCCATGTACATAATGTATCGCCAGACTAACTGGATGTAAACGATAAAATATATAAGATATAAAAGACTATAAAATGCATTTTTGTTCACATCAATTACCATAGAATAGGATATTTGTTAACCTTTAAATGGCTACACATACTTTGACAAGAAGTAAAACGAATGCGCTTGAATCGAATGCTCCATCTAGAATACATATCAGGGTATTGCGCCCTCTCGTGAGAAGATTTCCAAGTTGAATATTAGTCATAAGGATGAAGAAACCTCCGTACATCACGCATAGAACTGACGGGTATAGAACGTACGGAATCGCTGGAAGAAAGTTAGCTAAGTTAAGCTTAGATATAAAACTTGGAATGTTAATGAAACTTTCAATAGATATTTTTATTTCCTCTTTCCAGTTTTCATGCGTTTCAATATGTAAAGAGGAATTGCATTCATGAAACAATATTTAGAGACTTCCAAATATGACAATTTCAACAACATGTATTTCAAGTGTAGGTATAATTAAGGTTAAGTTACACGATTTTAAGATAACCTGTACGTGAGCGTGTAGTATTTTGACCTACGGAAATTATTGTCCCGTTCTTAATTCACTTAGCTAACCCTCTATCACACCAAACTAGTTTTTAATCGTTTTTTCAGTCCTTCGTAAAGCATGTGTAAAATAATTAGCTACTTTGTTCACAAACAGTCTTCAATACGTCCATCTCATTCGCAGTTCGTTCAGATCGCACCATGTCGATGTGCTCATGCACGTATTGCAATCGATATCCGATTGCACAACGTCGTATAACGCGCCTCTAGTAGGAATGAAGTACGGCAATTACGTTCCTGGTCTAGTAGGTCATTTTGTTTGAAGTACGTTGTCAGACGATCTGATAACAGAACGCCCATGTCGCCATCGACTTTTGATTTAATTCGAAATGCTCAATCACCTTCCCCGTCCGGGCAAGTCCATTAAGTTCGTAAATAGACCATAGAGCGTTGTAGCAAGGATCAGCCAGTTCGCACAGTTTAAAACCAGTTCGGCAATGTTTTAAAGCACACAGTGACAACTTGTTTGGTGTGATAGCTATTTTTGTCAATTCATTCATAAGCTACAAACGCTGTACTCACGACTGCAATTTACCGCCTGACTGCACAGCGTCGTAATACCTCTAAGGATTGGAGTACGACAGTTCTGTTCGTAGTTTGTCCCCAGTGCGCCCAGGTTGTCTTTTGTTACTCATTCTGATTGCAGAACGTGACGTCACCAGAAACGTCACCAGAAAGTTTTGAACATGCTCCCAGTTCTGATAAGGTGTGATACCATACTAGTTCTCACTACGTTCTCGAACGCGGGCTTAAACTGTGCACGAACGGATTTGACGCACTAAGAAGCGTTCAGGGTCTGTTTACATCAAACTACCCGAACGAGCTCGAGTAAATCATCCAGAATGTGTGAATCAATCGGCCAAGTGTACACTAAAAATGAGAAAACTAATCGAAAGGAACATAATTCTACATGTCCACGTACACGTTTTTTAAAGAAAACGTGTTATTCAACCTCCCTAGTACCAACGGCCAGTGTCGATGTATTTTGGAACTCAGTGCACATTGTGCATATGTCAGTTATTTTACAATTTACCCTACTATCACACCAAACTAGTTCTCACTACGTTCTCGAAAACGGGCTTCAACTGTGTACGAACGGACTGGACCTACTAGGAACCGTTTGGGATCTATATACAAACTTCATCGAACGTACTCGAACGGGTAGGTCCTCTAGAACTTATACAATGCTCAAAATGTTCTCGTGGTCGTCACGTTCTACAATTAGAACGAGTGACAACGTATTAACGACGAGCTGGACGTACTACGAACGGAACCGTCGTACTTCAATCCTACTAGGGACGTTTTAACAACGAGTTGAACTGTCTGAAGACTTGTTGAGAATGAAGTAGAACTAATTGCAAACGGGTTTAAACTGATAAAGAACGTATTTAACACTGCTTATGAACGAGTTAGCAGAAATATAGCTATCACACCAAACAAGTTGCCACT